TAAATCTGAGACGAATAAAGTTTGCTGGGGAGAAACGAGACGTGAAATACGAGTTAAAGAAACTATGGGAAAAACAGGAAGTGGCCAATAACAGTAAAGAAAAGTTGTTTTCCATGATAAAGGAAAAGGAAAATAAATGAGTTAAAAAACAAAAATATATGACAAGTTAATCTATGTAGTAGCATCGAGCAAAGGCAAGACTGAGACCAAGCCTGCAAGTCTTGCATTTGCTTAATAAATGTTTTCAAGCGGCACTTTTTATACTTAAATTTACTAAAATTTGCGAGGAATGTCATTTTGGCCTTTCATTATCATCCGTCAAAAAAATTGTCGTTAGAAATCAAAAATTGAATGATTACAAACTATGATGTGAGAGATACTGGATGACTAGATGACTGGATGAGAGAGATATTATAATTATAAAGAACACATACTGGAATCACAAAGGTTGTGTCAGAACAAAAAAAGGAAATACAAGATACGTAGACATACAAAGAGGTGTTGTGACAGACAGGGATGCATATTGTCACCATTATTGTTTAACGTTTATGCCGAATATATAATCCGAAAATCTCTTCAAAATTGTCCAGAAGAGGTTAAAATATTGGAAAAATTATAAACAATATAAGATACGCAGACGACACCGTGGTATTAGAATCCGAAGACCAGCTGCAAACCCTATTGGACAAACTGACAGAAGAAAGTATTAGGATGAGTCTAGAGATTAACACCGTCAAGACAAAAACTATGATTTTCAACAGATATCCGCAAGACAATGAAAACCAAACCAAACACCGACATAATGATAAACGGCTTCCATCTCGAAACCAGGCAGAGATATTTACTTGGGCAGGAATTAAATAGCCAGTTAGACCACTCCGAGGAAATCAGAAGATTGAAATAGCTAGGGCTGGTTTTCTCAACATGCCATGGAAGTGCTTATGCCATCCGAGAATAGCTATACCAACGAGTTAAAGAAACTATGGGAAAAACAGGAAGTGGCCAATAACAGTAAAGAAAAGTTGTTTTCCATGATAAACAAAAGGAAAATAAATGAGTTAAAAAACAAAAATATATGACAAGTTAATCTATGTAGTAGCATCGAGAAAAGGCAAGACTAAGACCAAGCCTGCAAGTCTTGCATTTGCTTAATAAATTTTTTCAAGGGGCACTTTTTACATAGATATTATTAAATAAATAGTATTGTTAGTAATTTAATTCGAATGAAACTTTAAAGCAGGAAACTATTAAAATATAAGTCTAACAAAAAAATTAATTTTGCAGTATATTATATTGAATCAGCACATGCTTATTTAAAATAATAATTTTGATCAACTAAGTATTTTTTTTATATCATAATATAAATGTTAATGCAAGATCACAAGACTTTTGCATGCTGGGTCTTGCTCTTGGTGTTGTGTTACCATTGCTAACAACAAAAATATTGTTAATTCGCTCCAGTGTTATCAATCAAAGCTTTTCTTTTAGATTGAGATTCTTGTTGGTGTAATGTTAATTGTTTTAATAATAACTTACACTTTCTTCTTGATAATTAGATCATCACCATCATCATTCATCACCTTATTCAACCATTTCCAATTATGGTGTAACCTCCCTCACATATTTAGATACCCTCTTTGTAGTTGGGGCCATTGTTGTCTATCGTTGGCTATGCGGACCCAAGTTATCTCTGCTAATTTTCTAATATTATAGTCCCACTTCAGGTGTTAGGTCTTCCTCTAGGTGTCTTAATTCCTCGTGGGTACTATGCTGTAATTTTTCTGGTCAGCCTCTTCTCTGTCCTTCTTGCCAGGTGTCCTGCCCTATGCCACTTGAGGGATTTAATTCTGTGGATGACATTTATTAGCTGGGTCTTTTGTCATATTCACTATTCTTTTACAGTCTTTCTTGATTATTACCAGCAATTTCGTTCCATGAAGTTGCAAGTAGACCTGCAGTTTTCTTGTAATGTGCGTTTTAATTGTCTAGGTTTCGCATGCATGGGTCATGACTGGTAGTACATTGTTGGTCGAATAGTTTCTTCTTTAGATAAAGTAGTAGATATTCTAAGTTTGAAGGGGAGGAGGATTGAGTTTCTTCCATCAGTACTCCGTGATAGCTTAATTATTCAGTTGATTTCTGGTAGTAGGGATCCCGAGCTGTGTAATAGTTGTCCCAAATATATGTATTCTTCTACTATTCCTAATTGTGTGTTATTTATTAGAATGTCTTTTCTCTCTCCTAGTTCGTTGCATATTACTTTAGTTTTTTCTAAATTCATTTTAAGACCTACTTTATTGCTGGTGTTTAGTTCGTTAATTTGTGTTTGTAGTTCTTCAGGATTATTGGCTATTAGGACTATGTCGTTGCGAAAGGACTATGTCGTGTAAAGTTGTCATAGTTTGTCAAACAGGTACTTTTATCAACAAGTCCTGAAAAATCAACTCAACGTCAATAAAATTAACAATTCAACATGCCAAAATATAAAGACAACAAACAAAAATACATTCTTAAATCTCTACGTATTTTATCTTTATCTGTGTTGTATAGAATCGTATGTTGTCTTAGTATTAAATACGTTTTATTTTCCTCCTAACTTATCTGAACTCGTCAGGAAACACGGCGATAAGTAGTTTTATAGCAATCTGCTAGAGTGTGGGAGTGTGGTATATCAGTTTATCGGGCTTGGTGAGAAGATAAAAAGAAAAAAGAAAGGAGACACAAAAAGAATGGACGGTTCCATCAGCGGAAATAAAGAAATCGCCAAAGTAATTGTCCCTTCAAAGCTGGGGGTGTTTTTTTGTCATCTCTTATTGCTTCTCTATACATCGGCTACATTGAAAAATGAGGCTTTCTTTATTTCACCTGGTAGATATGTATTAAAGACTATCGATTTATAAGCAATATCAATTATACTTTTAGTTACGTAATCGAGGACGCGATTTTAAAATTCCTTGTTGCCAACCATGGACATATTCAGCGCCGGACTGACTAACTGGAATTTAAATTTCCCGCTGGAGATTTAGGTGGTAGCTCTGCTGTACGAAATGTCAAGTTGCCACATTTATTTGTTTATTTCCTGTCAATCAGTCCAATGTCATTCGTTTTGAAACTTTGACTTTTGTATTACGAGTTTTTGGTTTAAATGAATTTGTTGTGGTACTTTAAGCTTGTTCTTGTTAACATTGTTCTTGTTAGAACTTCTTTTAGTGCGAAGTGTACTGTTAAGTGTCGAAATTGGTCTGTATTAACAGAGAAAACCGATTTCCTGACTAGATAGAGCAAAACCGACATAGATGTCATGGGCTCGATTTCTGAGACACTTTTAATGGCGTAAACCGCCTGTTGATACTGCCAACTGAGATACGGGGTCTTTTTGAATTTTTTACCATTTGGAAAATTGACCATAACTTTTGTATTTCGCGGAATAATAATATTCTGTAAAAACTTTCTGGCACTTTTTTATGCACAATCCAGTGGCGTAGTCAGTTCTTTTCTATACTTGTTTTTTTGTCAGAAATAATAAAAAACATAATTTTTTTAAATGGAAATCATAATTGGCTATGCACTTAAAAAATGCTGGCGTTTAACCCTTTCCAACGATATAAAGTTATGAGTATATATTTCTAAGAATGAGAGAAATATTAGGTTTTTTATCTTTGTAGCAAAGCGGGCCTTGATTTTATGTTGACCTAGTTGCCTAATTATTTTTGATCACAATTTAATATTCTATATTATTATAAGTACATCTGCATAATTAAAGACTTTTGAAAGGGTAAATCAACATTCTATATTAGTATTACCAATTACAAATGAAACGCCAGGGTTACAACAACTGTACTATAAATGGAGAATTTAGGGAGAATTGGATTGGAACAAGGGGCTCATATCTTGGTCTGCTAGATCCTGTGATTTCTTTCGACTTTCTTATGGGGGAAATTAAAAGACCAGAAAAGAAATTAAACGATATTCGTCACTCAAAAATATTTTTAGTTTTGTAATTGTATAGATTTCAATTGTAATTACTAATACTTATATATATAATGTTAATTTACCTTCTCAAAAGTCCTTAATTATGCAGATAAATAATAATATAGAATATTAAATTGTGATAAAAAATAATTAGTCAGATAGGCCAACACAAAATCAAGGCCCGCTGCGATATAAATATAAAAAAAACTAATATTTCTCTCATTTTTAAAAATAGATATCCGTAACTTTATATCGTTGGAAAGGATTAAACGCCAGCATTTTTTTTAAGTTCATAGCCAACTATAATTTCCATTTACAAAATTATATTTTTCATTATTTGTGACAAAAAATCAAGTATAGAAAAAAACTGACTACGCCACTGGATTGTACTTAAAAAAGAGCCTTAAGAACGTTTTTACAGAATTTTATTATTCTGCAAGATAAAAAAGTTATGAGCAATTTTCAAAATGGTAAACAATACAAAAATACCCCGTATCTCAGTTGGCAGTGAAAATATCAAGAGGCGGTTTACGCCATTAAACGTGTCTCAGAAATCGAGCCCATGACATCTATATCGGTTTTGCTCTATCTAGTCAGGAAATAGGTTTTCTCTGTTAATACAGACCAATTTCGATCACCCTGTACAAAAATACCTTGATAGCCTTTATAAAAAAACTCATCGCAACTTTATTAGAACATTTTGTACGGGAAAGCGCTAGTAATAGCCCTTTATGTCCCGTA